GAGGGAGTGCAGGGGATGGTGCTGGTCTCTTTTCAGTGGCAGCCACTGACAGAACTAGAGGAAATGGCCAGAAACTAAAGCATCAAAAGTTCCACAGGAACTTAAGGAAAAATTTCTTAACATTTAGGGTGACAGAACAGGTTGCCCTGAGAGGTTGTGGAGTCTCCTTCTCTGGAGATCTTCAAAACTCTCTTGGATGCAGTCCTGTGCCACGTGCTCTAGGTGACCCTGTGTGTGCAGGGGGGTTGGACTAGATGACCTCTAGAGGTCCCCTCCAACCTTAAGGATTCTGTGATTCTATGATCTTTGGTATCTTTGCTTTTCTGCTCCAACTCTCACTCACACAAATACCAAGTTCTTTGTGTTTTTTTTTTCTTTTTTTTGTTTTCTTTTTTATTTTGTTTACCTGCAGAGATACATGAGAAGGGAACTTCACCCCCAGACTGTATTCTGGGAAGGCAAACACTTGGCTGCAGTTGAGGTGGTACCTTTGCAAGAAAAACTCTCTGGCATCTCTGGCTCTGGTGTATCCACTAGATCTGGGCTTGCATTTGCTGGAGAAATATACTGCTACAGTATAACTATAGCTGTACTTCTGTTATTAATAGTACTTTCCTTGTATTTTCTTTGATGGGACTGCTTCAAATGTCTTCATTTTTAGTGCAGTGATGTTCATACCAAGCTGTTTTTCCTTTCTTTCAAGGTTTCTTCCCAGAAGTCTTCAGCGTCAGGGGCTTAGAAAAGATTTTTATAAAATACTACTGTGAATACATATATTTTAAAAGCAATTTCTAGGAAAATTTCAAAATCTAAACTAAGTTATATATGCACTAAACTAGTTTTATTAGGCTATTTATGCCATAAGTGCCTGTTGATATAACAGCATTATAGCAAAAAATATTCTTGATAATACATCTTGCTAATTCATTTCTAGCCAGCTTCTGGCTCTCAGTTTCAGTACATCTTTAGTTAAATGATATTCTGAATGTATGGGATTCCTCCTTAAAACACTTTTATTTTGTCTTTTGGAATAAAAAAAGAACTTCAGAAGTCCTATTTCAGTCAGGATTTTGTTATGATTTTTCTTTTATCTAAGCTACTACCACATTTACGTTATATTTCCTTACCTTATTACAGTATGGACATTCACCAAAGATGACATTAAAACTCTGTCTGCTAGAAGGAAGACCTTGCAGCCACTGCAACAGAAATCACTGGATTAAAATTCTCATTTGTCTAATACCAAATTTACCCCTGGTGCATTCCCCAGAGTTTTCTGCAAACAGAGTTCCTTTGATAAACATCTGTCACACATGCAAGTCTAGTATGCAGGACCACTAACTGAGGCAAGTTCCTTCCCCTCCAGTGAGCTGACTTATGAAATGTATGTTAGAAGACAAACAAATTGCTAGACAAAATTCTGCTTCAACTTAAATTCACCTGCGCAATCCTTATTTTCTGAGGTCTGCAACAGCAAATTGAGTTTGTCTCATTAATAACATTTTTACCTCATAGAGGCAAGCCTGATGGAAAGGCTGTCCACAGCGGGGCTCATCACACACGTGATCTGGAATGGCGCCATCCAGGCGGTAGGCGTAGCAGATTCCACAGTCCTTAGTAAAATCCTTGTAAAACAACACATTTTAGCTTACAGTAGAAAGGAAAGGGAAAAAGAGGCCTGCTAACAGAGCATTTGGTTCTCTGCCTTTGATTGTGCAATTTTTATTACTTAGGAATTACTAACTATTTTTGCCTTCAACTACATATTTACATCATTCTGAAGGGTAAGATTAGTTTTAGATTTGCAAGCCTTGGCTAAGTTTTATTCTCTTATTGAATTATGTCCAGTCAGACAAGTGTTTAATGCTCTTGGGCCTCAGTTTCTTCTTCTTTAATGAAGAAAATCCTTTGTCATTACATTCGACATTAGACACAAGATTGCACAGTCAGATACCAACTTAAAAATTTCGCAAGTTAGTAATCCAGTGTTACAGCATTGTCAAAAATTAATTCCAAGTTTGTTTGAAATGCAGCAGTATTTGGATGGCCTCTTATCCCCTCTAAGCAGCTCTACCTAATTAGAACGGTAAGTCATCAACATCCATAACAGAATATTTGGATTTTCCACATCTCATTAGCCACTCTGAAACTTTCTCTTTTCCTTTTAATAGTAGTAAGACAACTAATAACAGGCTTCACAATGAAGGCCACAGGAAAGTGTGCACCTCTAATCAAAGGTTAACAAGCTCTGTCAATTGTTGTTTGAAGTTCAGAAGTCCTTACGACAATATATTAATCCAATTACTTCTCTTTTAAGTCTCTTATTTTTCCAGCAAAATTATTATTATTGCTATTTTGTTAGAAAGTGACCATTTACATTTTACGTACTCAGAAATAACAACTGATCGTTACCAAAAACAACTTACACTTTTTTCTAACACGGCACGAGATGGAAAATCAACTTCTAATATGTCTTTCAGGTTTTGTAATAGGCTGATTTCTGGATCCCTGCAAATGACATGGGGAGGAAAAAGAGTCAACTCAAGGAGAAGCAAATACAGTTTTAATTTCAAACATCTGTTATTAAGGATGCTTACCACAAGTGCATGTTGTTGTTCAGCTTAGTTCTCAAAGGATTAACCTCTGCAAACAACATATATAAATAGTTAGAATATCTTTAGGATCCCCTTTTCTCTGGCCTTTCTCCTCCTACTTCTCTCTCTTACATTTCAGCACTAAAGAGGAAGATTTTTGTAATAATTTAAGGTACCTAAGTTGATGACTGCGCTTATGATCAAATTTGGAAATTCACACTCTACAATATTATCTCATTACCGTTAAGGAGGGTAAAAAGCTGTGTGAAACAAAGTGAAATACTTAAGAAATATTTTCAAACATTATTAAGGTACATGAGGTGCTTTTTTTTTAAAAAAAAAAGTATACAAAAATAAAAATGACTGGGTCATCATCAATGTGAACATCTGTAGGACACAGAGTCTACCCCTAAGCTAGGCTAGGAAAGCACCGGGAAAAAATATGACTGTCAAACACAGCAAAAGAGTTTGCCTTGAATTTAGCTTATGGGAAAAAGATTTTTAAAAAATCAACATATACTTTGTGAAACCCCCTTACATACAGATTCGTCTTCGAAATTTCTGGTTCTTTAAGTAACGCTTATCCCCAGAGACTGACGGAGCTTAGGCTAGTACCTGCTTACCAGATATGAGAGGAGGAAAGAGAAGTGAAAGGTGGATGGCTGCTGCCTTACCATGATCTGCTCCAAGAAAATAACACTCGGGAAACATGGTTGGATGCCTGGGATCTACCTCTATGTTCACCGAAACATTGGTCCCTACAATGACAAAACAAACAGGGATTTGTAGTCATACAGAGATCAACCAAGCTCTATTTGAAAATTGAAACATTAACTTTTTCGACAGTTTTAAAATACTTAATTCTGATTGTTACTACAGGTAATGAGTTACTACAAATTGTTACTACAAGTAAAGAAAAAGTTGATGTACAGTTAACAGATGAGTTAACTGAACAAAATGAGAATATATACTAAGTATTTCTAGTTTAATAGACTCTCATGAAAAATAGTAAGTTATTAAAATACTTGCAAGTCTTATATTACTGAAACAATCTTAACCTTAAGACTTCCATTTCTGCATAATCAAACTTAAGCTACATGAAACAATCAATTTGAAATCTTTGTGAAACTTTGAAACAGTGCAGATGTTATTAATTCCTCATTGTCTTTTATGGTCAGAAACAGGACAAAGACAGCAGTAAGAGATAAAATCAGCTAAGTTAGTCTCTCCCAGCATACTCTGGACTTGCACAAGCCCAGCTGTTTCTGAAGCAGTAAGCCAAAATTCATATCAATGCATAGCACTATTTTGAATGGTAGCAGATCAACAAATCATCCTCTTGGCATCTGCTATTCAAAAGGGAGCAAATGGCTCAAAATGCTCTAGAAGTTTTAAAAACTCATAGTAAATAATTTTATAAATGAAAAGATATGTAATATATCAGACTGTGAAATTAACAGGTGCGCAGAGCATACTTGCTTTAAAGGAAAAGGAAAATCCTTTAGTGTTCAGTGTCTTTCAAGGGTATTCCCCTTGTACGTGTGTGTTCTTTTCCAAGAAAGGATCTGGTTCTGGGATCTGAACTGCTTTTGGGATTGCCTGTTTCTTAGGACCATAGTTCCTGGGCAATCTCTCTGTTGGCCAGAAAAATTCACATCGTAGATGTGAATCCTACCTGCATTTTGACCAATATGCTAAGAATGAGTGAAATCAGAAAGTTTAGCCCTAGCTGCCAATTATCAGCGAGTCATGACAGAAGGCTCAGCATTTTCCACCATCCTCATGCGACGTGAGGAACCTTTCAACCCTTCCCTTCCCTTTTCAGTGCACTTTATACAAAGCCCACTAGGACCAAGTGGGAGTTTGGTTGGACCCTTGGCCTTCTCCCTGACAGCTCCACTTCTCCTCTGCTTCCACTCCCTCCACTCCCTGTGCTCTTCTTTCCTTCCTCACTCCGCAGGCGTTCAGTCTTCCTGCAGCTTCAGGTCTGCAACTGAGGTCTACTGTTTTCCACTGTAGGTTCTCAGATTTCTACAATAAATTTTTGATATTTTGAGCTTAGGCTGAAAATCAGAAATTTTCTTTCAAAGATAACATTTCTCCTCGTATTTTTGACCTCTGACAGTGGCAAATTCCTCCTTTGCAAGTACAATACTCCTTATTCTCTCTATTAAGACCTTAGAATGCCACACGACCATATGAATTAAGGTACTTTTTCAGATAGTTAATACTTTTTGCCTCTAATTTCCTCTTTCCTTCTCTCCTTCCTTTGTCCTTCCCACATGCCTCCTTAGCCCCTTTTTTCTCTCTCGCCCCTACTCTAATTCTCATTTTGCTCTTTCAGGACAGGTCAATCTTACAGATTTTTGGAAAGAATAACATTACAGTGGTGATAGAATGAGATGAGGATTTTTTAGAGCTGTATTTTTATAAATTCTGATTTCCTAGAGTTACAGGAGTCCTCAACTTTGACATTTACACAATTTACAAACACACCAGATTTTTCTACAGGAATTTCCATTTTATATTTAACACTGTAAAGTTATACTTTATCTCCTAAAGTAATTCAGCATTTTGTGGAAGGTTAATATTTTATACAGAGTAAAGAGTGTGGCTTTTTATCATTTTCAAGCGCAGCCTTTAATTTTCCCGAATCAAAGAGGCACAATCTTCTTAAATAAGCAAAGCAAAACAGCGCTGTGACTGGTAATGCTAAAATCCCTTGTTTGCCTTCTAATCTGTTCATACCTATTGCAATCCTTCTTGTTGTGGCACTCCGTGTGGGATTTTCTGGCTCAAGTACCCATGTGTTCCCATCAATTTCATCCATAGCAGCCCAGAACTCTTTCAGTGATTCTAATGCTGCCAAGAACTGGTTATAAATGTCTATTAAGGAGTTCTAAGAAAAGAAGAAATTTAAACAAATTTTACATAGATCTCTACCTACAACAATATGGAATAATCAAAAATAGTACATGATTTTAGAAGTTTTACAACCTAGTATATACACAAGTCATATATTAATGTAACAAAAATGTTGATCTTTACATAATAACTTTTACTACATAAAGCATTTTTAAACCAAATAACAGAAATTAAGTGGAGCTGATTTCTGAGTACAAATAACTACTCTGCTCAGATTTCTAACACATATAAATATGCCAGACCTGGATTTGATAGTGTTTTATATTCTTTTTCAGAAAATTGTTCAAAAACTGATCAAAACTACCCATTTTCATTATAGCTTAATAACATAAACCACTGCAAATTACAAGTAAAAATCACTGTTATCTGCTATTAAAATTCTGAGATTGTCCTCCTGATGAGTACTTCTTACTACAGTGATTTCTACGTCCAGATGGGCTTGACTGAAAATGCACCCTGTTTTTCATCAGTAAAAAGTTAACAGTATAAGTAAGAGCTGATGGTTCCATAAACAGAAGAGATTCTGGCACAAGCAGTTTACTTTTAAGATGGTTTCACATGCTGGAGCTACGCTTTCAGCACTGTGTCTTCCCTCATGCCTCACCCTAGAAAAGTAGTAACCCTGAGATAAAATAACTCTAG